GTTATGTAACCCATGACATTTCCCTTTTTGCCTTGGCTTCTAGGAAGCTCAAAGCTAAATGGAATGATCACTCTTGTAATTGTCAGTATTGATGCCCTCCCCTTCTTCTAATGTTACTCTTTACGTTTTCCTGTTTTATTATTGTGTGTGTTTTCTAATTCTAAGCTGTTCCCACTCCTTTTTGAAAGCAGGCAAATCGGCCGGGCGCGGTGGCTCAAGCCTGTAATCCCAGCACTTTGGGAGGCCGAGACGGGCGGATCACGAGGTCAGGAGATCGAGACCATCCTGGCTAACATGGTGAAACCCCGTCTCTACTAAAAAATACAAAAAACTAGCCGGGCGAGGTGGCGGGCGCCTGTAGTCCCAGTACTAGGGAGGCTGAGGCAGGAGAATGGCGTAAACCCGGGAGGCGGAGCTTGCAGTGAGCTGAGATCCGGCCACTGCACTCCTGCCTGGGCGACAGAGCGAGACTCTGTCTAAAAAAAAAAAAAAAAAGAAAGCAGGCAAATCTTCTTCTAAGACTTACCCAGTGAAAAGTTATGAATAAAAAATGATCATCAAGTCTACAGGTGCTGAGGCTACTACAGAGGCTGAGGCCAGAGGACTACTTGAGCCCAGGAATTTGAGACCTGGGCTGGGCAACATAGCAAGACCCCATCTCCATTAAAACTATTTTTTATTAAAAAAATAATCCGCAAAGGAGTTTATGTGGGGTTCCTTAAAATCGGAGGGTGACATGAATTGATTCAAAGACTTGTGCAAAGGGTGACAGCAACTCCTTGAGAAGCAGTATGAGAAATCCTGTCCCACCTCCTCCCCCAGCTCCAGCCTGGGCTGAGGCACTGTCACAGTGTCTCCTTGCTGGCAGGAGAGAATTTCAGTGTTCACCAAAAAGTAGTATTGTTTTTATTAGGTTTATGAGGCTGTAGCCTTGAGGACAGCCCAGGACAACTTTGTTGTCACAAAGGTAGCCTGCGGCCACAGGAACTCTGAGATCTAGATTCTTCTGTGGCTGCTTCTGACCTGAGAAAGTTGCAGAACCTCTGTGGGCCTCACATGGCCTCCTTGTCCTTAATGAGGGGATGGTGGGCAAGAAAGGTGATGTGACATTAGAGATTTATCCATCTCTAAGGGAGGAGTGGATTGTACGTTGAAACACCAGAGAAGGAATTACAAAGGAAGAATTTGAGTATCTAAAACTGTAGGTCGGACACTCCCGTGTTGATTGCAGCACTATTCACAATAGCCAAGATTTGGAAGCAACACGAGTGTCCATCAGCAGACGAATGGAGAAAGAAAATGTGGTTCATATATGCAATGGAGTATTCAGCCATGAAAAAGAATAAGATTCTGTCATTTGAAACAACATGGATGGAACTGGAGGACATCATGTTAAGTGAAATAAGCCAGACAGAGGGACAGACTTCACATGTTCTCACACATTTGTGGGAGCTAAAAATTAAACTCATGGAGATAGAAAGTAGAAGGATGGTTACCAGAGGCTGAGAAGGGTGGAGGGGAGTGGGGAGAAAGTGGGGATGGTTAATGGGCACAAAAACATAGTTAGCATGAATAGATCTAGTATTGGATAGCACAACATCGTGACTACAGTCAACAGGAATTTATAGTACATTTTAAAACAACTAAAAGAGTGTAATTGGAATGTTCATAACACAAGAAATGATCAGTGCTTGAGGTGATGGATACCCCATCACCCTGATGTGATTATTACACAATGTATGTCTGTTTCTAAATATCTCATGTACCCCACAAGTATATACACCTACTATGTACCCATATAAATTTAAAATTAAAAATTTATAAAACACACATAAATAAGTACATTCAAATGTAGGCTGGACACTGTGGTTCACACCTGTAATCCCAGTGCTTTGTGAGGCTGAGGTGAGAGAATCACTTGAGCCCAGGAGTTTGAGACCTCATCACCACAAAGAATTTTTAAAAATTAGCTGGGTGTGGTGGCACATACCGGTAGTCCCAGCTACTTGGGAGACAGAGGCAGGAGGATCGCTTGAGCCCAGGAGTTTAAGGCTGCAGTGAGCTACGATGGCGCCACTGCATTCCAGCCTGGATGACAGAGTGAGACCCTGTCTCTATTTTAAAAATAATAAAAAGAATAAATAATAAAAATAAATTAAAATGTAAGTATTTGTATGTTAGAAAAAATACACCCATCAGCAAAAGGGGTAAAGGAGCGATTTCAGTCATAATCAGATGCAGGATAAGCCAGCAATGCAGTTTCTTTTATTTTGGTCAAAGAAATAAGGAAAACAATATTGTAAACACCCAGTCAGTGCTGGCAGCAATATGAGGCTGGCTCTCTCACCAGGGCTCACAGGGGAAACTCATGCAACCCTTTTAGAAAGCCATGTGGAGAGTTGTACTGAGAGGTTTTAGAATATTTATAACTTTGACCCAGAAATTCTATTCTAGGACTCTGTGTTATGAAAATAAGCCAACATATGGAAAAAGCTTCTTTCAGAAAGAGGTTCATGGGAGGCTGTTTGTATTTTTTTTTCTTTGCATCAAATCCAGCTCCTGCAGGACTGTTTGTATTATTGGAGTACAAAATGGAATCAATACAAATGTTGGATAGCAGGGGGAAAATATTCACAAAATGGAATGGAACATATTATTAAACATAGTGCTTCTGATGACCGTAGACCATACAGAATGCTTAGGATATGATATCACTTCTTTTGTTCTTTTTTGTTTTTTGAGACAAAATCTCATTCTGTCACCTGGGCTGGAGTTCAGTGGCACGATCTCAGCTGACTGCAACTTCCATCTCCCAGGTTCTCCTGCCTCAACCTCCCAAGTAGCTGGGACTACAGTTGCGTGCCACCATGCCCGGCTAACTTTTGTATTTTTACTATGGACGGGGTTTCACCTTGTTGGCCAGGCTGTTCTCGAACTCCTGACCTCCGGTGATCCACCTGCCTTGGCCTCCCAAAGTGCTGGGATTACCGGTGTGAGCCACCGCGCCCAGCCTAGGATATGATATCACTTCTTAGAGCAAGATACAAAATTGCATGTGCACAGTAATTCTCCCAAGTTTAGGTACACAGGGATGGTTACATCTAAACGAGACTTAAAGGAAATACAAAAAATGCAATCCTGATTGTGTTAGGGTGGTAAGAAAACGGTTTTGTTTTTGCTTTGATGAGCTCTATTTTTTAAAATTGTTATATTTTCTAATAAAAATACATAGTCTGTTTGAAAGAATATAAAAGATTATGAAGAGATGAGTTAGATGTTGATTCATATTGAAGATTCAGATGAGTAAAATTAAGGGGAAAAAACGGGATGAACCAGAAGCCAGGCTGGAGTCCCAGTCCCAGACCCGACAGCCCAGGCTGATGGGGCCTCCAGGGCAGTGGTCTCCACCCAGCATTCTCAAAAGAGCCACTGAGCTCTTGCCATTTTCAAGATTTCGGAAACCGCCTTGGCATGGCTGGTCTTTCACTGGGATCTGCACTTGGCAATTATTTACATCTGAGACGAATAAAAACCAAAGTGCTGAGATTACATGCGCAGTGGCTCAGGCTTGTAATCCCAGCACTTTGGGAAGCTGAGGTGGGCTGATTGCTTGAGCCCAGGAGTTTCAGACCATCCTGGACAACATAGCGTGACCTCATCTCTACAAAAAATACAAAAAATTTGCCAGGTGTGGTGGCATGTGCCTGTGGTCCTAGCTACTTGGGAGGCTGAAGTAGGAGAATCCCTTGAATCCAGGGAGGTCGAGGCTGCAGTGTGCCGTGATGATGTCACTGCACTCCAGCCTGGGGGACAAAGTGAGACCCTATCTCACTAAGAAAAAAAAAAAAACAACACTGTTTCCACTGTTTCCAGAGTTCCTGAGGGGAAGGTCAACGGGTGAGGAAGACGTTCTCACTGATCTGGCAGACAAAATGTCAAGTTTTTCCAACTCCCTAAACCCTGGTTTTCTATTTCATAGTTTTTAGGCAAATTGGTAAAAATCATTTCTCATCAAAACGCTGATTTTTCATACCTCCCGGGTGTCTACAGAAAGAACCTTCCAGAAATATAGTCACGGGAGACCCATCCAGGCCACCCCTGCTTATGGAAGAGCTGAGAAAAAGCCCCACGGGTGCATTTGCTCAGCTTCCGTTACACACCTGGTGGCACTGTGGGTGGGAGGGGGCTGGTGGGTGGATGGAAGGAGAAGGCACTGCCCCCTTGCAGGGACAGAGCCCTCTTACAGAGGGGACACCCCGCATTTGTCTTCCCCACAAAGCGGCCTGTGTCCTGCCTGCGGGCTCAGGGCTTCTTAAACCTGACTGTGTGTCAGAATCACCAGGGGAACTTTTCAAAACCAGAGGGACTGGAAAGACTCCTCCAGATTTGAATTCTAGGTTAGGGCTGGGGGCTGAGATTTTAAAAATCCACAGGTGATTCCGATGCCCAACAGGCTTGAGAACAGCCACAGGAAGTTCTCTGGGAATGTTCCGGTGGGTCTAGCTAGGGGTGAGTGGAGATGCCAGGGAACTTCCTGTTACTCACTCATCAGTGTGGCCTAACACGTTTTTCCCTGACCCCAGGCTGGTGAACGCTACCCTCTGGGGTTTGGGCCTGACGATGCCATCCTTTTGTGAAGTGAGTCCCTGCCCCTGAGGACCTGCAATCCCAGCTTCGTAAAGCCCGCGGGGAATCACTCACAGTTCTGGGATGCCTTCGGGGCAGCCCTCTCTCTGTCCCTTCAGCTCCCCTGGGGTGTGACTCAATCTCCCGCCACTCCCCAGACTGCCTCTGCCAAGTCCAAAAGTGGAGGCATCCTTGCGAGCAAGCAGGCGGGTCCAGGGTGACGCGTGTCACTCATCGAAAGTGGAGGCGTCCTTGTGAGCAAGCAGGCGGGTCCAGGGTGGTGTGTGTCACTCATCGAAAGTGGAGGCGTCCTTGCGAGCAAGCAGGCGGGTCCAGGGTGACGTGTCGCTCATCCTTTTTTCTGGCTATCAAAGGTGCAGATAATTAATAAGAAGCTGGATCTTAGCAACGTCCAGTCCAAGTGTGGCTCAAAGGATAATATCAAACACGTCCCGGGAGGCGGCAGTGTGAGTACCTTCACACGTCCCGTGCGCCGTGCTGTGGCTTGAATTTTTAGGAAGTGGCGTGAGTGCGTACACTTGCGAGACACTGCATAGAATAAATCCTCCTTGGGCTCTGAGGATCTGGCTGCGCCCCCCGGGTGAATGTAGCCCGGCTCCCCACATTCCCTCACACAGTCAACTGTTTCCAGAAGCCCCCTCCTCATGTTCTAGGAGGGAGTGTCCCAGCATTTCTGGGTTCCCCAGGCCGTGCAGGCTGCGTGTACAGAATAGGGTGTCTGACGGACCTTCTCTCCAGCCCCTGCCTGGGAAGCTGAGAATACCCGTCAAGGTCTCCCTCCACTCACACCCAGCCCTGTCCCCAGGAGCCCCATAGCGCATTGAAAGTTGGGCTGAAGGTGGTGGCACCTGAGACTGGGCTGCCGCCTCCTCCCCCGACACCTGGGCAGGTTGACGTTGACTGGCTCCACTGTGGACAGGTGACCCGTTTGTTCTGATGAGTGGACACCAAGGTCTTACCTTCCTGCTCAGCTGTGCCTCCTATGTGTTCAAGGCAGGAGCGGATTCCTAAGCCTCCAACTTATGCTTAGCCTGCACCACCCTCTGGCAGAGACTCCAGATGCAAAGAGCCAAACCAAAGTGTGACAGGTCCCTCTGCCCAGCGTTGAGGTGTGGCAGAGAAATGCTGCTTTTGGCCCTTTTAGATTTGGCTGCCTCTGGCCAGAAGCGGTGGCTCATGCCTGTAATCCCAGCACTTTGGGAGACCAAGATGGGAGGTTTGCTTGAGCCCAGGAGTTCAAGTCCAGCCTGGGCAACAGTGAGACCCCTGTCTCTACAAAAAAAAATTAAATTACCCAGGTGTGGTGGTGTGCACCTGTAGTCCCAGCTACTTGGGAGGCTGAGGTGGGAGGATCACCTGAGTCCGGGAGGCAGAGGTTGTAAGGAGCCATGATCGCGCCACTGCACTTCAACTGAGGCAACAGAGCGAGACTTTGTCTCAAAAAACAATGGTATAATAATTTTAAAATAAATAGATTTGGCTTCCTCTAAATGTCCCTGGTGAGATTCGGGACTCAGATCCTCAAGTCCCACTGACTCACCTGATGAGCTGAGGCTTCATCATCCCCTGGCCGGTCTATGTCCACGGGGCACCGGAGGCTCGTCTCCCACCAGCAGTCTTGGTGAGCTGAAAGCAAACTGTTAACACCCTGGGGTGCTGGAGGTATGAGACCCTCGAGGTCCACCCCAAGGGAGGCGTTGATTTTTGAGAGCAATCACCTGACCCTGGCTGGCAGTACCAGGACACTGCTGTGGCTCCGGGCGGGCTGTCTCTGGAAAATGCCTGGCCTGGGGCAGCCACCCACATCCAGCCCAGAGGGTTTATTCTTGCAATGTGCTGCTGCTTCCTGCACTGAGCACCTGGATCCTGGCTTCTGCCCTGAGGCCCCTGGCTTCTGCCCTGAGGCCCCTGGAGTCCCACAAGTAGCAAGCGCTTGGCCTGCGGCTGCTGCATGGGGCTACTAACGCTTCCTCACCAGTGTCTGCTAAGTGTCTCCTCTGTCTCCCACGCCCTGCTCTCCTGTCGCCCCAGTTTGTCTGCTGTGAGGGGACAAAAGAGATGTGTGCCCCCACCCCTGCCCAGGTCCTTGTTCCTGGGATTGCTGTTCAGCTGTCTGAGCTTTGATCCTGGTTCTCTGGCTTCCTCAAAGTGGGCTCGGCCAGAGGAGGAAGGCCATGTGCTTTCTGGTTGAAGTCGAGTCTGGTGGCCTGGTGGAGACTGCGCTCCTGAGGCGGAGCTGGGGAGAGAGCACGCACGGGCTGCGTGGCCAACCCCTCTGGTAGCTGATGCCCAAAGACGCTGCAGTGCCCAGGACATCCGGGACCTCCCTGGGGCCCGCCCGTGTGTCCTACGCTGTGCTTGTCTGTGGGATAGCCTGTGACCCGTGCTGTGCTCATCTGTGGGCTAGCCTGTGACCTGGCAGAGAGCCACCAGATGTCCCGGGCTGAGCACTGCCCTCTGAGCGCCTTCACAGGAAGCCTTTCTCCTGGTGAGAAGAGATGCCAGCCTCTGGCATCTGGGGGCACTGGATCCCTGGCGGCGGCTAGGGCTAGGCGGCCCTAGTCTCTCCCCAGCCTGGGGGCCCCTTCCCAGCAGGTTGGCCCTGCTCCTTCTCCACCTGGGACCCTTCTTCCTCCTGACTGGGCCCTGGAAGTTCTGCAGGACCTGCCGTCCCCCTCCCTGGCCTCCAGGTATCTTGACCACCGTCCTGGCTCCCACTGCCACCCACTCCTCTCCTATCTGGCCGTTCCCTGGTCCCTGTCCCAGCCCCCCTCCCCCTCTCACGAGTTTCCTCACCAAGGCCAGAGGGAAGAGGGAAGGAGGCCCTGGTCATACCAGGACGTCTTTCCACCTCCCTCAGCCCTGGTCCATCCGCTCGGCGCCAGCCTCAGAGCACAGCTCTCTCCAACCCAGGCCGCACACCGTCCGTCCTCCCTGCCCCCACGTCCTTGCCGCAGATCATGTCCGTCCTGACACACATGGGCCTCAGCCATCTCTGCCCTAGTTAACTCCCCATCCATAAAGAGCGCACGCCAGCTGACGTTAAAATAATTTGGGATGGTTCCAGTGTAGACCTAAGTAGAAGCGGGAACCGCTGCCCCCACTGCACCTTGGTTTTTGGTGGCCTTGATAAACCATCTTCAGCCATGAAGCCAGCTGTCTCCCAGGCAGCTCCAGGGCAGGGCTTCCTGGGGAGCTGACTGATAGGTGGGAGGTGGCTGCCCCCTTGCACCCTCAGGTGACCCACACAAGGCCACTGCCGGAGGCCCTGGGGACTCCAGAATGTCAGTCATGACCCGCCCCCGGGCCGCACACAGCCACGGTGTCACAGATGCCGGCCTCCAGGGGACCTGTCTGTCTGCCACTCGGAGTCCCCACAGGGTGCCCCCCCAGGGGAGCTGGCTCTTGGACTGAGATCAGCTGGCAGCTCAGGACTGTCATTCCCCGAGGGAGCGGTGCCCTGGATCCCACAGGCCTCCCCATGTGTGTCTGTGTCCGCTCGAGCTTGCTGAGACATTCAATCTGTTGGTTTCTGCTGTGCCGCCTACCCACCCTGTTGATGATGCTTTGCTCCTGTTGCTAAAGACAGGAATGCCCAGGACCCTGAGTGTGCAGGTGCCCGCTGGCTCTCACGTCCGAGCTGCTGAACTCCGCTGGGTCCTGCTTACTGACCCTCTTTGCTCTAGTGCTGTCTGTGGAAGCTTTTCCTGGAATAAAGCCCACCCATCAACCCTCACAGCGCCTCCCCTCTTTGAGGCCCAGCAGATACCGCACTCCGGCCTTTCCAGCAAGATTTTTCAGATGCTGTGCATACTCATCGTATTGATCACTTTTTTCTTCATGTCTGATTGTGATCTGTCGATTTCATGTTAGGAAAAGGAGTGACTTTTTTACCCTTAAGCCTTTGCTGAGCAAATGTCTGGGCCTTGCACAATGACAACGGGTCCCTGTTTTTCCCAGAGGCTCTTTTGTTCTGCAGGGATTGAAGACACTCCAATCCCACAGTCCCCAGCTCCCCTGGGGCAGGGTTGGCAGAATTTCGACAACACATTTTTCCACCCTGAATAGGGTGCGTGCCTCATGGCAGCTGGGAACCACTGTCCAATCAGGACCTGGGCTTACACAGCTGCTTCTCATTGCATTACACCCTTAATAAACCCATTTTATCCTCTTTGTCTCTCTGTCTTCTTCTCTCTCTGCCTCTCCTCTTCTCGCTCCTCTCTCATCTCCAGGTGCAAATAGTCTACAAACCAGTTGACCTGAGCAAGGTGACCTCCAAGTGTGGCTCATTAGGCAACATTCATCATAAACCAGGTAGCCCTGTGGAAGGCGAGGGTTGGGATGGGAAGGTGCACGGGGTGGAGGAGTCCTGGCGAGGCTGGAACTGCCCCAGACTTCGAAAGGGGCTGGAAAGGATTTGTTGGGTAGACCATCAAGGAGAGTTGAGTGTGGAACTTGCGGGAGCCCAGGAGGCGTGGTGGCTCCAGCTCGCTCCTGCCCAGGCCATGCTGGCCAAGACAAGGTAAGGCGGGAGTGAAGTCAAATAAGGCAAGCACAGAAAGAAAGCACATGTTCTTGGCTGGGCGCGGTGGCTCACGCCTGTAATCCCAGCACTTCAGGAGGCCAAGGCAGGCGGATCACGAGGTCAGGAGATTGAGACCATCCTGGCTAACACGGTGAAACCCCATCTCTACTAAAATTACAAAAAATTAGTCGGGCATGGTGGCGGGCACCTGTAGTCCCAGCACTCAGAAAGGCTGGAGGCAGCGAAAATGGGTATGAACCCAGGAGGCCGGGCAGCTTGCCAGGTGAGCCGAGATGACGCCACTGCACTCCAGCCTGCGGTGACAGAGTGAACTCTGAAAAAAAAAAAACCACACACACACACACATGTTCTCGCTTATTTGTGGGATCCAGGAGATAGATAATAGAGGGATGATTATCAGAGGCTGGGAAGGGTAGTGAGGGGATGGTGGGGGGATGGTTAATGGGTACAAAAAAAAAATAGAATAAGACCTAGTATTTGATAGTGCAACAGGGTGACTATAGTCAATAATAATTTAATTGTACATTTAAAAATAACTAAAAGATAGCCAGATGCACTGGCTTACGTCTGTACTCCCAGCACTTTGGGAGGCCGAGGTGGGCATTTGAGACCAGCCTGGCCAACATGGTGAAACCCCATCTCTACTAAAAATACAAAAATTAGCTGGGCGTGGTGGCGGGCACCTGTAATCCCAGCTACTCGAGAGGCTGAGGCAGGAGAATCACTTGAACCTGGGAGGCAGAGGTTGCAGTGAGCCAAGATCTTGCCACTACACTCCAGCCTAGGTGACAGAGCGAAACTCTGTCTCAAAAATAAAAATAACTAAAAGACTATAAATGGATTGTTTGTAACACAAAGGACAAATGTTTGCGGGGATGGATACCCCATTTTCCATGATGTGATTATTACACATTGTGTTTCTGCATCAAAACATCTCATGAACCCCATAAATATATATACCTACTATGTACCCATAAACATTTTTTAAAAAAAAATTTTTCAAGGTGAAGAGGGAGGCAAGATGCTGGCCTTAAGCCCTAACCCGTGATTCTCCCAGCAAGCTGTCCACAGGTCGTCTCAGGCTTGAGGTGCAGCTATATGGATGTATAAGCTTGGTCCCCAGCCAACATGGAGACACTTCACCATCGGCAGCAGCTACAGCACAGGAACCCTGGGTCACTGCCATGTCCCCTCTGTGACTTTGTTTAAACAGAAAATGATGCTCTGGGCTGGCCGTGGTGGCTCACGCCTATAATTCCAGCACTTTGGGAGGCTGAGGTGGGCGGATCACGAGGTCAGGAGATCGAGACTATCCTGGCTAACACGGTGAAACCCCATCTCTACTAAAAATACAAAAAATTAGCCAGGCGTGGTGGAGGGCACCTGTAGTCCCAGCTACTTGGGAGGCTGAGGCAGGAGAATGGCGTGAACCCGGGAGGCGGAGCTGCAGTGAGCCGAGATCGCGCCACTGCACTCCAGCCTGGGTGACAGAGTGAGACTCCATCTCAAAGAAAAAATAAAATAAAAAAATACTTGACTTACTGGAAGCCAACCAATGTATAATTTAGAATAATTTCTCCTGGGTTGAGCTGTCACTTACCTTTGCAGTATCTCAAGAGGAAGAGTTTACTGTGTAAACATTGATGCATACTTTGATTAGATAGATGAAGCAAACTATTTTCAAGCACTTTTCAAGGACTTACTTGTATCCAAACAGCATTCTAAAGGAAAGTCTTACCTACTTCTAAAGGCTGGTCTCTACTTGAAACCTCTTGCTTGGCCCTGGTTCAAGTCCTGCTGCAAACCTGGAAGTCCCATCACTGTGTTCTTCCCTGCAGAGCAGTGGCTCCCGATCTAATTTTTGCTATGCCCCAGCAGCCCCTGGCACTTTGCCCTGTAGACCACAGACCTCATGTAATGTGTGCTAAGTCCACGGAACCGCGGAAGATGATGGCAAGATGCTCTTGTGTGTGTTGTGTTCTAGGAGGTGGCCAGGTGGAAGTAAAATCTGAGAAGCTGGACTTCAAGGACAGAGTGCAGTCGAAGATCGGGTCCCTGGACAATATCACCCATGTCCCTGGCGGAGGAAATAAGAAGGTAAAGGGGGCGGGTTGGATGCTGCACTTGGGTATGGGCATTAATCAAGTCGAGTGGACAAAGACTGGTCCAGTTCCCAGAGGAGGAAAACAGAGGCTTCTGTGTTGACTGGCTGGGTGTGGGCCCTCAGCAGCATCCAGTGGGTCTCGACTGCCTGTCTCAATCACCTTCACCAGGAGCTTTAGCACGTTTCACAGCTGGGCTCCAACCTGGAGAGGCTGACTGATCGGTCTTAGGTGCAGCTCAGTTGCTGGAGTTTTTGTTTTTATTTATTTTTATGTATTTGAGGCAGGGTCTCTGTATTAGTCCGTTCTCACACTGCTAATAAAGACATACCCAAGACTGCATAATTTATAAAGGAAAGAGGTTTAATGGACTCACAGTTCCACATGGCTGGGGAGGCCTCAAAATCATGGTGGAAAGCAAAGGAGAAGCAAAGGCATGTCTTACATGGCAGCAGGCAAGAGAGCGTGTGCAGGGCAACTCCCATTTATAAAACCATCAGACCTCATGAAACTTATTCACTATCATGAGAACGGCATGGGAAAGACCCGCCCCCATGATTCAGTTACCTCCCACTGGGTCCCTCCCATGATACATGGAATTATGGGAACTACAATTCAAGATGAGATTTGGGTGGGGACACAGCCAGCCCGTATCATTCTCCCTCTGTCATCCAGGCTGGAGTGCATTAGCATGATCTCAGCTCACTGCAGCCTCTACCTCCCTGGGTCAGGTGATCCTCCCACCTCAGCCTCCCAAGTAGCTGGAACTACAGGTACCTGCCACTATGCCCGGCTAAATATTTTGTATTTCCTGTGGAGACGAGGTTTTGCCATGTTGCCCAGGCTGGTCTTGAACTCCTGAGGTCAAGCAATATGCCCACCTCAGCCTCCCAAGGTGCTGGGATTACAGGTGTGAGCCACAGTGCTTGGCCTAAGTGGCTGCAGTTTTTAAAGCTCCCAGGTGATTCTTTAGTGCAGTCAAAAGTGAGAACTAGCTGGGTGCAGTGGCTCATGCCTGTAATCCCAGCACCTTGGGAGGCCAAGGTGGGCAGATGGTTTATTAGAGATGATCTCTACTAAAAATACAAAAGTTAGCTGGGTGTGGTGGTGCATGCCTGTAATCCCAGCTACTTGGGAGGCTGAGGCATGAGAATCGCTTTAACCCAGGTGGCAGAGGTTGTAGTGAGCCAAGATCGTGCCACTGCACTCCAGTCTGGGGAACAGAGTGAGACTCCATCTCAAAAAAAAAAAAAAAAAAAATGAGAACCACTGTCCTAGGCCCTGATGTTTGCAGACAACTAAAAAAGGAAGTGGACATCCCCAGTCACCTGTGGCGTACCAAGAACACATGGGAACATAACCTAATTTTCTAAATGGGTTACTAGGCACTTAGAGCAAAACAATGATGCTGAAATCCTGATTTCAGGAAAGCCTCTGCCTGCCTGTTGTGGAAGTGTCCACACGAGGCTCCTGGGGCCTTGGTGTCCCCAGCAGTTTCTAGTCTCCAGGTCTTGCTGTGGGTGTCTGTGCAGTGAGGGTGTGTGTGGCACTAAGCGAGATCTGTCTAGGCCTGGCACAGGATGCGGTCTGGTAGCTGCTGCTTCTCTTCTGCAGAAGCGCAGCCAAGCACCCTCTGGGGTTTCCTGCCCACACCCAGCCTGAAGTTCTGGGAGTGGCTCACTTTCCAACCTTCAGGGTCTCCCAGGAGTTGACTGGGGAGTGGTGGAGGGAAAAGGATTGTATTAGTCTGTTTTCATGCTGCCGATGAAGACCTATCCGATACTGGGCAATTTACAAAAGAAAGAGGTCTGATGGAGTTATAGTTCCACGTGGCTGGGGAGGCCTCACAATCGTGGCGGAAGGTGAAAGGCTTGTTTCACATGGTGGCAGACGAGAAGAGAGCTTGTGCAGGGGAACTCCCCTTTATAAAGCCATCAGATCTCGGGAGACTTACTCACTATCATGAGAACAGCACTATCATGAGAACATAGGGGCAGGGAAAACCTGCCCCTACGATTCAATCCTCTCCCATTGGGGCCCTCCCACAACATGTAGGAATTGTGGGAACTATAATTCAAGATGAGATTTGGGTGGGGTCACAGCCAAACCGTATTGGGGTGTCCCAGAAAGGGTGTGGGATCTGAGACCCGGCTCAGCGTGAGGAAGTTTGCTTCTCGAGATGGCCCAGTCGGGTGGAAGTGGCAACCAGGCTGTCTCTCCACCAGGCCACTCAGGTGGCAGCTGAGAGACCCCTGCCCTGGTCAGTCTCCGCCCTCCCCTCCTGCCACTGCATCTGGTTCTGAACAGATGGGCACCCTCATCTTGTGTTTGTGATAAATGTCTAACCATGTAGTTTTGTGAGAAGTGTTTGCCGCAGATGCTGTAAACTGTGGCCTGGGGCAGACCTCACCTCCAGACAGGCCCTGAGGCTGGCGAGGGCACTGGCCCATAGTGGCTGGCCGAGAGCTCTCAGGTTGTGCCACGCAGGACACAGGGATACTTTTCAGTGCCTGGGTCACTATCCAAAGTGAGAAAACAGGGAGGGACCAGGAGGCTGCCCGCCTCAAGGGATGTGGGGGCCAGGCCCAGTTATCTGAGGAAGCAGTCAGCTTCTCTGCTGTTTCCACCACCCAGGCCTCCCCTGGTCTAAGGCAGGGCCTCCCAGCCTTGGGGCGCTTTAAAGATACCTGGGCCTGGCCCCATCCCCACAGTCTGACTGAGTGGGTCGGGATAGGGGCATGGGCATTGGCGATTTCCTGGGTGAAGGGAGGCCCGCTGCAGTCTCTGGAAGCTTCTCTGTGTTAGGAAGAGCTCTGGGCTTGACTCTGCTTGGAGAGTCAAGATCCGCAAATCCTCTCAGCCTCAGTTTCTCCTTCAGCAAGATGAAATGGAAATGCTGTACCTACGTCCCAGGGTGGTTGTGAGACCCCCCCCAAAAAAACAATGTTCTGGAAGGTTCCTGGTGCTTTGCAGTCCTCTAAGAACCTGAGTTAGAGCCATGCTGAGTCTCGCTTCTTGGCTCCTTCTGTTTCCAACTTGTCCATGTGATGGCTCAGGAAGGGTGGGCAGGGCCCTGCCCCTACTCAGAAAACACCATCCTGGTCCCAGGGATCCCCGCAGCGTTAGTCCCGTTTTCCGTGTGTTGAGAAAAATTGCTAACAAGCAGTGGGGCACACCACCAGCCTCCTGGGTTCCTTTCAGTTTGGGGATTTTTGGACATTCCCAGGAATGTCAACTTTCTCTTAAAAAACACTTCAAAAAACATTAACATAAATATTTTTATCAAAGCTTGTATTAAATGGTCTTTCAAGAAAATACAGTAACAGGCCAGGCATGGTGGCTCACGCCTGTAACCCCAGCACTTTGGGAGGCCAAGGCAGGCAGATCACCTGAAATCAGGAGTTCGACACGAGCCTGGCCAATGCAGCAGAACCCCGTCTCTACAAAAAATACAAAAATTAGCTGGGTGTGGTGGCACACACCTGTAGTCCCAGCTACTCGGGAGGCCGAGGCAGAATTGCTTGATCCCGGCAGGTGGAGGTTGCAGTGAGCTGAGATTGCGCCACTGCACTCCAGCCTGGGTGACAAGAGTGAAACTTTGTCTAAAAAAAAAAATCTGTTTTTCAAAGTAGTGACTGCAAATGAACAAAATATGCATCTGGCTTAAACAGGAGCCTGGTTTTCTCTATGCCCATTCAAGCCTGCTGCAATAGGGGCCCTTCAGCCTGGATCCATGGACTCCTAAAATTATATGGAAAATGGCTGTGTGGGTGTGAGTGTGGGTGGACATGTGCACACATATTTTTGGCTTTACCAGATGCTCAAAGAGCCTAGGACCCAACAAGGGCTGAGGATAACCCTGTCGGCCGCTTCAGGGTCATCAGGAATTACTGTGCGCTGCTCACTTCTCCAGTGAACGCTTTCTGCTTCTGCGTTTCCTGGTATACTTTGGGGCTCCTGGCTAGGTCATGTGTTTCTCTACTTTCAAAAGGGCTTCAGCCAGGCATGGTGGCATAAGCCTGTAGTCCCAGCTGCTCGGGAGGTTCAGGTGGGAAGATTGCTTGAGCCCAGGAATTTGAGGCCAGCCTGGGCAAGTAGATAGATAGGTAGATGATTGATAGATAGATAGATAGATAGATAGATAGATAGATAGATAGATAGATAGATAGATAGATGTATAATAGATGGAAGGATAAGTCGCTAGACAGACTCCATCCTAAATCAGCCATCCACCCACTCACACATAAAAAGGCCTTTGTCGTGTCATGTTTTGTGGCCCACCTGCCAGTGCTGCCCACAGTTGCTGCCCCTCCAAACTCATCAGTCACTGGCAAACAGGAGGAATGTGTGTGGCTCATGTCTGGGCATCAGTGGCTCTGGGAGACATCCTTGATCTTCTCCAGCTTCTCCTTCCACATTTTCCTTTGCAATCTGGCAATATCTATCAAAATAAGATGCGCATGCCTTTTGACCTAAGAGCTCCACTTCTAGGACACACTTACAGGTGTGTGACATGATGTTCATTCAGGGTGATTTATCTGAGGTTGTTCATACACACCATTGCCTATAATCACTAAAGGCGGGAGCAGCCTAGGCATCCATCCACAGAGGAGTAGACGCCTTTGGATACATCCGTGGTGACGGAATACTAAGCAGCCTGTGTACATATACACTCACACATGTGTTTGTTTATGTGTGGAATATCTCTGCAGGATACACAAGAAACTTAAAATGATCACTGTCTCTGGGGAGGGTACCTGGGTGCCTGGGAGGCAGGTCAGGGGAAGAGTGGGCACAGGGATTACGAATTGGAAGACAATAAAAACAACAGCTTCTGGCCAGGCACAGTGGCTCACGCCTGTAATGGCAGCACTCTGAGAGGCCGAGGCGGGTGGATTGCTTCCGCCCAGGAGTTCGAGACCAGCCTGGGCAACATAGTGAAACCCCATTTCTATTAAAAATACAAAAAACTAGCCAGGTGTGGTGGCATGCACCTGTAATCCCAGCTACCCAGGAGGCTGAGGTGGGAGAATCACCTGAGCCTGGGAGGTTGAGGCTGCAGTGAGGTGAGATTGCACCACCTCACTCTAGCCTGGGTGACAGAGCAAGACCCTGTCTCAAAAACAAACAACAGTCCCTGGCACTGTGGGCCAGGCCTGGCAGGGCAGTTGGCAGGGCTGGTCTTTCTCTGGCACTTCATCTCACCCTCCCTCCCTTCCTCTTCTCCTTGCAGATTGAAACCCACAAGCTGACCTTCCGTGAGAACGCCAAAGCCAAGACAGACCACGGGGCGGAAATCGTGTACAAGTCGCCGGTGGTGTCTGGGGACACGTCTCCACGGCACCTCAGCAACGTCTCCTCCACCGGCAGCATCGACATGGTAGACTCGCCCCAGCTCGCCACGCTAGCCGACGAGGTGTCTGCCTCCCTGGCCAAGCAGGGTTTGTGATCAGGCCCCCGGGGCGGTCAATAATCGTGGAGAGAAGAGAGAGTGAGAGTGTGGAAAAAAAAAGAATAATGACCCGGCCCCGCCCTCTGCCCCCAGCTGCTCCTCGCAGTTCGGTTAATCGGTTCATCACTTAACCCGCTTTTATCGCTCGGCTTTGGCTCGGGACTTCAAAATCAGTGATGGGAATAAGAGCAAATTGCATCTTTCCAAATTGATCGGTGGGCTAATAATAAAATATTTTTTAAAAAACATTCAAAAACATGGCCACACCCAACATTTCCTCGGGCAATTCCTTTTGATTCTTTTTTTTTCCCCCTCCATGTAGAAGAGGGAGAAGGAGAGGCTGTGAAAGCTGCTTTGGGGGGATTTCAAGAGACTGGGGGTGCCCACCGCCTCTGGCCCTGTCGTGGGGGTGTCACAGAGGCAGCGGCAGCAACAAAGGATTTGAAACTTGGTGTGTTCGTGGAGCCACAGGCAGACGATGTCAACCTTGTGTGAGTGTGACGGGTGGGGGTGGGGCGGGAGGCCATGGGGGAGGCCAAGGCAGGGGCTGGGCAGAGGGGAGAGGAAGGACGAGAAGGGGGAGTGGGAGAGGAAGCCACATGCTGGAGAGGAGATGCCCTCCTCCGCGCCACTGGGAGGGCCAAGGCCTCCGCCACCTGCAGTGTCTCAGACTGAGCGGCTGCCTGTCCTTGGTGGCCAGGGTCTGCTGCAAGTTGATGTGCCACCCTCTGCAGGGCAGCCTGTGGGAGAAGGGGCGGCGGGTAAGAAGAGAAGGCAAGCTGGCGGGAGGGTGGCACCCCGTGGATGACCTCCTTGGAAAAGACTGACCTTGATGTCGGAGGGCGCTGGCCTCTTCCTCCCTCCCTGCAGGGTAGGGGGCCTGAGCCGAGGGGCTTCCCTCTGCTCCACAGAAACCCTGTTTTATTGAGTTCTGAAGGTTGGAACTGCAGCCATGATTTTGGCCACTTTGCAGACCTGGGACTTTAGGGCTAACCAGTTCTCTTTGTAAGGACTTGTGCCTCTTGGGAGACGTCCACCCGTTTCCAAGCCTGGGCCACCGGCATCTCTGGAGTGTGCAGGGGTCTGGGAGGTGGGTCCCGAGCCCCCTGTCCTTCCCACGGCCACTGCAGTCACCCCTGTCTGCCCCACTGTGCTGTCGTCTGCCATGAGAACCCAGTCACTGCCTATACCCCTCATCACGTCACAATGTCCAAATTCCCAGCCTCACCACCCCCCTTCTCAGTAAGGACCCTGGTTGGCTGTGGGAGGCACCTGCTCCATACTGAGGGTGAAATTAAGGGAAGGTAAAGTCCAGGCACAAGAGTGGCACCCCAGCCTCTCACTCTGTTCCACTCATCCAACTGGGTCCCTCACCACGAATCTCACGACCTGATTCGGTTCCCTGCCTCCTCCTCCCATCACAGATGTGAGCCAGGGCACTGCTCAGCTGTGACCCTCGGTGTTTCTGCCTTGTTGACATGGAGAGAGCCCTTTCCCCCGAGAAGGCCTGGCCCCTTCCTGTGCTGAGCCCGCAGCAGGAGGCTGGGTGTCCTGGTTGTCGGTGACGGCACCAGGATGGGCGGGCAAGGCACCCAGGGCAGGCCCACAGTCCCGCTGTCCCCCACTTCCACCCCAGCTTGTGGCTGCCAGCCTCCCAGACAGCCCAGCCCGCTGCTCAGCTCCACATGCATAGAATCAGCCCTCCACATCCCAAAAAGGGGAACACACCCCCTTCGAAATGGTTCTTTCTCCCCGGTCCCAGCTGGAAGCCATGCTGTCTGTTCTGCTGGAGCAGCTGAACATATACATAGATGTTGCCCTGCCCTCCCCATCTGCACCCTGTTGCGTTGTAGTTGGATTTGTCTGTTTATGCTTGGATTCACCAGAGTGACTATGATAGTGAAAAGAAAAAAAAAAAAAAAAAAGGACGCATGTATCTTGAAATGCTTGTAAAGAGGTTTCTAACCCACCCTCACAAGGTGTCTCTCACCCCCACGCTGGGACGCGTGTGGCCTGTGTGGCGCCGCCCTGCTGGGGCCTCCCAAGGTTTGAAAGGCTTTCCTCAGCATCCGGGACCCAACAGAGACCAGATTCTAGCATCTAAGGAGGCCGTTCAGCTGTGAAGAAGGCCTGAAGCACAGGATTAGGACTGAAGCGATGACATCTCCTTCCCTACTTCCCCTTGGGGCTCCCTGTGTCAGGGCAGAGAGTAGGTCTTGTGGCTGGTCTGGCTTGCGGCACGAGGATGGTTCTCTCTGGTCACAGCCCGAAGTCCCACAGCAGTCCTAAAGGAGGCTTACAACTCCTGCATCACAAGAAAAAGGAAGCCAGTGCCAGCTGGGGGGATCTGCAGCTCCCAGAAGCTCCATGAGCCTCAGCCACCCCGCAGACTGGGTTCCTCTCCAAGCTCGCCCTCTGGAGGGGCAGCCAGCCTCCCACCAAGGGCCCTGCGACCACAGCAGGGATTGGGATGAATTGCCTATCCTGGATCTGCTCCAGAGGCCCGAGCCACCTGCCTGAGGAAGGATAAGTCAGGAGACACCGTTCCCAAAGCCTTGACCAGAGCACCTCAGCCCACTGACCTTGCACAAACTCCATCTGCTGCCATGAGAAAAGGGAAGCCGCCTTTGCAAAAAATTGCTGCCTAAAGAAACTCAGCAGCCTCAGGCTCAATTCTGCTTCTGGTTTGGGTACAGTTAAAGGCAACCCTGAGGGACTTGGCAGTAGAAATCCAGGGCATCCCCTAGGGCTGGCAACTTCGTGTGCAGCTAGAGCTTTCCCTGCAAGAAGTTTCTGGGCCCAGAACTCTCCACCAGGAAGCTCCCTGCTGTTCGCTAAGTCCCAGCAATTCTCGTAAGTGAAGGGATCTGAGAATAAGGAGGAAATGTGGGGTAGAGATTTGGTGGTGGTTAGAGACATGCCCCCCTCATTACTGCCAACAGTTTTGGCTGCATTTTTCACGTACCTCGGTTCCTCTTCCTGAAGTTCTTGTGCCCTGCTCTTCAGCACCGTGGGCCTTATCCGGTAGGCTCTGGGATCTCCCCCTTGTGGGGCAGGCTCTTGGGGCCAGCCTAAGATCATGGTTTAGGGTGATCAGTGCTGGCAGATAAATTGCAAAGGCACGCTGGCTTGTGACCTCAAATGACAATCCCCCCAGGGCTGGGCACTCCTCCCCTCCCCTCACTTCTCCCACCTGCAGAGCCAGTGTCCGTGGGTGGGCTAGATAGGATATACTGTATGCCGGCTCCTTCAAGCTGTTGACTCACTTTATCAATAGTTCCATTTAAATTGACTTCAATGGTGAGACTGTATCCTGTTTGCTATTGCTTATTGTGCTATGGGGGGAGGGGGGAGGAATGTGTAAGATAGTTAACATGGGTAAAGGGAGATCTTGGGGTGCAGCACTTCAATTGCCTCGTAACCCTTTTCATCATTTCAACCACATTTGCTAAAGGGAGGGAGCAGCCACGCGGTTAGAGGCCCTTGGGGTTTCTCTTTTCCACTGACAGCCTTTCCCAGGCAGCTGGCCAGTTCCCCATTCCCTCCCCAGCCAGGTGCAGGCGTAGCAATATGGACATCTGGTTGCTTTGGCCTGCTGCCCTCTTTCAGGGGTCCTAAGCCCACAATCATGCCTCCCTAAGACCCTGGCATCCTTCAAGTCCTTGGCACCTCTGTGCCACCTCTCACACTGGCTCCAGACACAGCCTGTGCTTCTGGCAGCTGAGCTCACTCACTTCCCCCTCCTCATCTTTGTTGGAGCTCCAAGTAAAGCCACGAGGTCAGGGCGAGGGCAGAGGTGATCACCAGCGTGTCCCATCTACACACCTGTGGCTTCGTAAGACTTCTGATTTCTCTTCAGCTTTGAAAAGGGTTACCCTGGGCACTGGCCTAGAGTCTCACCTCCTAATAGACTTAGCCCCATGAGTTTGCCATGTTGAGCAGGACAATTTCTGGCACTTGCAAGTCCCATGATTTCTTCGGTAATTGTGAGGGTGGGGGGAGGGACATGAAATCATCTTAGCTTAGCTTCCTGTCTGTGAATGTCTATATAGTGTATTGTGTTTTAACAAATGATTTACACTGACTGTTGCCGTAAAAGTGAATTTGGAAATAAAGTTATTACTCTGATTAAATATAAGGTCTCCATTCATGGATTCCAAGGACAAGAAAGTGATATAGAATGTCTATTTTTTAAGTTCTTTCCCACTCACCCTTAGAGAATTTAGTCCAGAACAGGAAATGACATTATTAAAAGCTGGACATCAGGATTAACAGCTCTCTCTGGGGCCCTGAAGGTGAGAGTTCTCAGACTTGATCATTTGCAGCTGATACTCTCATTGTGATGCTGGCAAACCATCCTAGTCCAATTCAAAGGGCAATACAAAGCCTTGTGGCTGACCTCACGATGCGACACTCAGTTTGCAAGACCGGTGCCAGTGTATGCAAACCTGAGAAAGTTGGGGATGAGGATATGGGATCTTTCGTCCCTGGAAATTTAGTCCAGAGGCCTAAATTTCACCAAGCCAATCAGCTTAATGAGTGGCTTACATTCCTGCTAGGTTTACAGAGCTGCCTTCTTCTTTCCTTTGGCACCTTATTATAGATTGAGGAGCATTTCTGCTAAACCAAGATAGGGATACCAGATAGCGTCCTCCTAGCAATGCCACAAAGGAAAACAAAAACAAAACAGCAATCCATCAATATTATTCCTTAGTAACTACGCCGAGGTCGTGTATTTAGTATTTAGATTGTTTCAAAATACTACTTTTGATCTTCCTGATGTGTTTGCCACTGCAGGCAGATGTTTAAGTAGAACAGATTTTAACTGCAGCTACAGAAGCAGCAACAGGCCCACAAAAGAGAAGTGCTATCTCAGAAAGCATAGCTTTCAGAGCCACAAGAGACAGCCTCACTGGCTGTTTCAGCTTGACTGCCATGCAAAGAAGAGAGCAGAGGGAGAACCAGCCCCACCCACTGACTCATCTTGTATAAAGAAAAGCACCTACCAGCAGCCTAGGCTACATAGTGAGGCACTATCTCCACAAAAAACCCAGGAAAATTAGCTAGGTATGGTGGCACAAGCCTACAGTCCCAGTTACTGGAGAGGCTCAGGTGGGAGGATCTCTTGAGCCCAGGAGATCCAGGCTGCAGTGAGCCAAGATTGCACCACTGCACTCCAGCCTGGACCATCGAGCAAGATCCCATCTCAAAAAATAAAAAAAGAAAAGCATGTAACCTCCTCAGAAAAAGATGCTATAATCTCAGGCAGCAGGCAAGAACCAACTCAGGCTCTATGCAAATTATGTATCTCACTGACCCCCACCAAACCTCAGAAAAATTTAACGGTGAGAAGCAAAATCTCCTTTAAAGAGCAATGTAGAACGGACAGAAAATATCATACAGCAGACTTCACTAGAGAGAAAGTGGATCAACTGCTTTCACTCAACAAAAAGAAAAAGGAGACGATCAATACAGATCCCCTCACCTCCTGGCAGCCCTTACCCTCAGTGAAAAGCCACCACCATTCTCTCTCTGGTGGCCATCAGATGAACCTGCGGCATTCCCACAAGACAGAATGGAGATTTCCCAAGGTATAGAGCAAGTTAGAGTACCTCAAAGAATGGCGCCAGACAGCCAGCTCCGAAGCTGCCAACACTACCATACATACACAGTTCAGTAAGTCAAGAAAGGCCTGGTACACAGCATTCTGTAACTTTTTTTTTTTATTTTTTTCAATTTTTCCTTCTTTTTTTTTTAAGCACTAGTCTGTGCTTTGCGAACAGAATCAAGACATTAACAAAGATCAGCTTCTCTGAAGAAAAGCATTTCTATAGAACAAAGACAGCTACATGTTTCGCTGCCATTACACAGCTCCAAAGCAGGAAAAGAAAATATTTACAAAATACAATTTTTTTTTTTCATTTTTTGTTTTTGTTTTTTTTTTTCAATGCTAAAAGGGTTATTCAGAATTTTCAACCTTATAAATAGAAGAAGCACTTTATGCATAGGGATATGGTGCATTATTGTATTTTTTCTTTAAAGAAACAATGACAAACCCTTTAACTTGCAAACAGAAAAAAAAAATCACTAATGTTGAAAATTGTGAAAAAACCCCAACCATTAAGCAGTTGTCTACTATTTTTATACGATTACAAAATGGCCAAAAAAAAAGTCTTCTCCCCCCTCCCCCTTTTTGGTGATGTGATCATACAGGAGACAGGCACAAGGTTAACAGAGAAGGGTGAAGGGGGAACAATGGGAACCACAGCTAGGACCAGACAATGTTCCACAGGCAAGGGGAGCGTGAAAGACCAAGAGTGGAACTAACACCGACAGGGATCTGGATGTGAAGGAAACATGGCAAAGTGAATCAGAGGAAAAAAAAAAAAAATCACACAGGGAGATGGCTGCTCACTTCCCACAACCCCCCGTTTGCAGGGGAGTGGGAACAGAGGTTAAGTAGTCCTAACCCTACCTTCAGAGATCAGGATAGGTGGTAAAAAAACATTCCGAGTGGAAGGACGGGTTGTGGGTGTGTATGTGGCATTGGAGAACGGACAGGGAAGGGTACCAAGGGGCATGATGAGGGGAACCTGAGCAGCCACAGCCAGGTTACTGCAGTTAGAGTCAAAACAGAGAAGACCAAATGCAGATGAAACAAAAAATAGGTCTCTAAGTTCTGGGTGAGAAGGGAAAGCTGTTCTGCCGGCTGAGCACTTGGTGAGAGCAGCTGGCAGTTACGGCAGAGAGGCTCTGGTGGGGATGTTCCAGCACGAAAAACCAAGGGGGGACCCAGCCAGGAGGGCCACAGCTGAGCCCAGCCACAGATGGGAGGGGAAGGGGTAAGAGCCCAGAGCACCCTGCCCCATTTCACCCTAGCCCGAGAAGGCCATGCTCAACTGGAGCCCTCTGCCCGCCAGGCTGTTCTGCCCTGCCCACAGGTGTGAGGGAGGGGGTGGTCATCTAAGATTGGTAAGTCCAGTGATTCAACAGTGCAGAGGATGTGCCAGGACCAGGCCAGCAGGGTCTCATCCTGAACTTCTGTTTGCCAACGGGAGGAAGTGCTCAGGTGTGTGACAAGAAAACATGGAAACAAAAAACAAAAATTAAAACGAGAGAAAAAAATACCAAAGTAGGATCTAAATTCCTTAAGTTCACTAAAAACTGTGAAAATTTCCGGCATATGATGTTTGAATATCAAACGCAGAGATTTCTGAAGCTTTAATGCCAATAGTTAGTGAGTCTGTTTAGATTCTTGTCTCCCGCTCATCTGTGAGTTGGGCGCTGAGCTGTGGCTGCTGCCACCAGATGCCGACTCTTGAGGGGGACAGTGGGAGGCGAGGTGGGTGCCGCCTCTGTCTCCCGGCCAGTCTTGCTGCCTGAGGTGCGTCGAGTGCAGCGGGCTGCTCGCTCCTGTGCATCCAGCTGGTCCTCACACTCCGCCTGGGGACTGTGCGCCAGGGGGAAGGTCCGCCGCTCCCAGGGCTGGACAGACTGTAGGCAGACAAGTTGCTCTGTGAGGACCCAGACCCAGCCAGCCTGCTTCCTGCTCCAAGGCCCTGCCACAAACCTTGTGGCCGGAGACTAGGACCAGTCTATCTAGCGTTCCTGGACAGTCCAGGAACACCCCTCCTAGGGTGTACCCAGACAACCGTATTGATCATTTAGCAATGATAAATATAGTTCCACTGAATGTTGAGGGGGTCAATTTAAGTGCGGCCCTTTGTCCCTTCAAAAGGGGAGGGGAAGGCTTATGATGTAGGTCCCTCTTCAGCAGATGCTGTCCCTTCCTGGTTCCATCCCCCAACCATGCCAACCCCACCCAAGGGCTATGTCCCTTACCTGTTCATCCAGACCCAGCTCTGGCGTGGAACAACGGGTATCCTCACTGGCTAAGTGTCGCGGAGTGTCCCGAGCCACAGGGGTGAGGGGCGCTGAGTGCAGTTCCGGGCTAATGGGGCTCCTAGGGGACTGACCATGAGAGTATTCTGACAAAGAGTGGCTACTGCTGACATCAGGGGAGGCAGGCTGGGGGGTGGAGGGGTTGGCACTGCCCAGCTGAGGGGTTGTCCGGCCGTCTGATGACCTGTAGGACCTGTACACCAAGGAATGCAAATCTGAGTGCCTGGGAAATGTTTACTTATGGGGGTAAAGGGCATGAAAAAAGCATCCCCACTGGAGGAGTTGAGGCAAACAAAGACCAACAGATTTTCCTTAGGATCCAGCAACTCTCATTTCTTTCCACTACTCTCTGGAGGGGTAGGTAGACAACATCTACCATCCCAAGAAAAAAGCACGGCTGAACAGTGCGACGGGCAAGTCCATAGCAAAGTGCCTAGTGAGTTCAGGAAGTTAGGGAGACTCGTGTAGGCTTTGCAAACTGTAGTCAAAGAAAAAAAGTAAAACAAGAGTTCGCAAAACTTTCTACTTGAGAATCCCAAGGGTTTCTGCCACTGTGAACAATAAATGGAGACAGGGGAGTGATGGACGTTAAGGGGGGCAGTTTCTTCAAGTGACATCACAAAGCCACTGTCCAAAGGAAGGTTAACTTGTAGTGAGGCCTTCCAAGCTCCCCTGGTTGAATCACTAAGACCCCCCAACTGTCTTCCAAATGCCACAGATCATGGGAATTCATCAGAATTGAACAGTGACTCCTCAGCAAGGATCCAGCACTTGGCTCCTTGTATCTCCACCAGTTCCAACAAACACCAAGGAACTTCTGAGCTCTTTGCCACTGCCAGTAGATGAGTATGATGAGCAACCAAGAGGCAGTAGCAATTCCACAGACTCAAGTAGGGCCCAAACTCCCTGTCCACCCTCTCTCCACAGGCCCCGGGGACCCATGCCTGCCCCATCACCTGCTGCCCCGCCGCTGGGGTGGCACACTCGTGGTCCACAGCCACCGTGCCCTCTCCATCTCCTCACATTTGGCATGCAGGGCGGCGAAAGCTGCGTCAGATAGGTCTTCAATCTGCAATAGAGCAGCTTCATCGATCTCGTCTTTTCTCCAGGAGTTAAGAACCAGTCCCACCCCATTCTAGGTTCTTCCCGGTCACAAGAGAATACAAGGAGCTTGCACTTGACATCCACAGGTCTTGAGGCCATTTAGTGTGTGTGCACTCGTGTGTGTGCA